TAATTTAGTCTTTTGATAATATCTGTAAATTTTAAAAAAGGAAGTTGGCTTGCAGTGTTGTTGCTTCCTGATGCAAGACTTCCTTTAACAGTACAGTCTGTAAAACACACACACACACACACACACTCACACTCACACAGTTGTGCCCTTACTCGGAAACACCCTCTTCAACTCACGTGAAACATCGCTGTTGTGCTACTGTCATGTCTCATGTCACATTTCAAGAGAGACGTAAAGCATTTTTGTATCGTCCCTGATGTTCCTGTCACCAAAACTCTTTGTGAAAACCTGTCACCACGAACACGCGGCAGTGATTTGTTTACTTCCTTCAAATCGAATTTAAAAGGATGCCAAGCCAAAACTACAAAACAGGCCATTTTTCCTCAGCTGTCCTCTAACATCTCCGAAAACGGCTGCCGCTTCTTCTGCCCCAGAGAAGAGTGTATGCTCATCTGCACCAGTCAGTTTCAGACCACAAAAACACCTGCATTTGGACATATCCACTTTAACTACAAGTTCCAAGGGTTCAATATGTCCAAATTGCCAGAGAAATGGTGCATCAGGTCCGCTGAGCTTATCGTTTGTGACTGTAATGAAAAAGGACTACATCTGAACATTCAGTCTTGCCTTCGGCATTGTGCATGTTACTGCAGCTAAACACTTCTGCATCAAATAGAGCAGAAACAGGTGATGAGCAAAGAGAGGGACGATGCCGTTCACACAAACTGTTTAATACTGATGCGCTTGTGTTCAGCCACGGACCAATGACTTTTCTCCCTAGATCATTTAATGCAGCTTTATCCAACAATGTCAAAAGTGTGGTTGTCAAGGAAACATTATCTAGCACGAGTCACAAATTTACAGTTGTGCAGGCCCCCAATACAATCATTAATTAGTGCACTAGGAAGTCTCATTTACATGGAAACAACACAAAAAAAAGTTTAGCAACTGCCTTAAGCTTGCTCTTTCTAAATGGAGCTTTACTTGAAATGCCAAAGTGTGCTTACAGTTAAAAAAATCCACAGCCTACCACAGAGGTATAATATTTTCCTTAAAGGCACAGTACACTCAATTCATGAACATGAACACACACAAATACGCACAAACATCTCAGCAGAATAAGAGAATGTCTTCAAAACAAAACCGACTTTAGCAATCAAGCAATTTGAGCAATTCAGCAATCTTGGTTTCTTTATCTGCAAAAGGATGATAAATAAAATACTTAAATAGAGGCGATCTGGGGTAAATGTAATGCTTTTTTGATATTCAGAAGACTTGATCAGTGGTTGGGTGACACCTAAAA